GTCGAGGCGTTCAGCGAGCAAGGACTCACGGCTATCTACGCCTAGAACCAGTGCTCCTGTCCTCTCTCCCCCAGATGACCTTTCAAGTCTTTCTGTGAGCAGAGAACCAGCGTTGTCTACATCTGGGAACAGTCTTCCGGCGCCTCCAGATGCAGTTTCAACCCCGACGGCTGAAACGCAGCTGGACGAGAAGAACAAGGCTGCTTCTTGTGCGCAGGAGCTTTGGGACGAAGCCTACGACCAATTGAAGATTGAAGAGACAAGGTTATTGCAAATGTACGAAGTGATTCTGTCAAACAGGATCAACGACCCCAACTTTCAGCCGTCTGGTGGAATCGATGTAAACATCATCGGGACGGGAGATGAACGACGGGCCCAACTACTGCAGGTGATCGACGCGGCCCAGAGGAAGAGGCAGACAGAGGCTAGAGTCAAAGAGAGAATGGGAGAAGGATTGGAAATCGTCAACTCCGTCAGATACATCATAACCGCAGCAGTCCAGGCCGCACCGCAGGCGGCTCTTCCATGGTCCCTTGTGACTATGTCTCTGGATGTAAGTTGCCCTGTGGCCATCACAGCCCAAATGTGCAGTGAAAACTCGAATTGACTTTTGGAGGCAAGGTTCTGCAAAATCCACTGAAGCAACATCAAAGGATTACCGAGGGGATATCCTATACCACGAAGCGGATGGAGTGGTATTGGAGTTTGTCGAATGACCTATTCGATCGAGCTGGATCCGCCAATCCTGGCATCACGCCTAATATGCGAACTGCCTTACTCGCCCGACTTAGGGAGCTCTACAAGAAGATAATACTATTCCAGGTCAAGTCAATCTGCTCATACTACCGCAACCGTGGGCTACAGTTGCTCCGCGATGTTGCCATGGTTGACGATTGGGAAGAGAGTCTGAAAGAGATTCGAGTTCTCGAACAAGAGTTTCAAAACGACTGTACCGCCTACATGGGTCTGGAGAGGACCAGTCTGAGCCGTCAAATCAAGGACTGTCTCGAGAATCTTATTGCTTTGCAAGTCAAGGATCTAGAGCAGCAGGACCGAGACTGTTTGAGAGATCTGTATATCACCAATCCGCGGGACGACAGGAAGCGCCTCCTGGATGCAAAAGGCGGGCTTTTACCGGATTCGTTCGATTGGGTAATGAAGAGTGCCACGTTCCAACAGTGGCACAGAGAAAAACAGACCAATCTTCTCTGGATCAAAGGGGATCCTGGAAAAGGAAAGACCATGATAATCTGTGGCCTCTGCGAAGAATTGGAGAACATGGCGCCTTACCCAGATCTGGTTTCATACTTCTTTTGCCAGGGCACTGATCCGAACTTCAACAGCGCCACTGCTGTTTTACGCGGCTTGATTTATCTCCTGGCCATACAAAGACCGTCCCTTATCAGCCATCTGCAGGAGGAGTACAAGATTGTCGGAAGCAGAGCCCTCTTCGATGGACTCAATGCCTGGGTCACGTTATCGGGCATATTCCGAAGAATGCTACAAGATCCGGCCTTGGAGAGTGCCTGCCTGGTACTTGATGCCTTGGATGAGTGTGATTCCGGCCGCAAATACCTTTTGGATCTCATTGTTGAAAGCACTTCAGTCGCGCCTCACGTCAAATGGGTCCTCTCGAGCCGGAACTTCCCTGATATTGAAGCCAAAATGACCAAGTGTCAAACGGCTGTTGTGATCGATCTCGAGATGAACGAAGGGCATGTTACGGACAGCGTTGACGCATACGTTCGCGCAAAGATACAGCAACTCAATCTCATCCAAGACAATGAGGAACTCCACACAAAATTGCATCGTGCCATTATCGAGAAAT